ACATATTTATTAAAACAGCGGTCTCCCTGGCTCCTCTGGCTCAGATTTTGCTTATCTTACCAAAACCTTCTGCCATACAGATTGAGGTGGGTAAGTAAGAGCAAAATACTGTTTCCTACAGTGTATTTATCTGCTTGATGCTGCTGCCCAAGTGCTAGCGAAGGTTGAAGATTAATTGCTTCTTGGACTGTCAAAATACATGTTGGCCAGTGCAAAACCCAAACGGCCAGAAGAACAGCCCAAGGACAACGTACTGTGCCAGCGTTGTGAGACTGAGAGGGATAGGAGATTTAAGCTGAGGACACCAGAGGCGCAGCCTCAAAGAGGGGGACTGGGCAAAAGTTAAAGAGGCTGTGAGAAGGCAGAAGTCGGTCAACAGGAGAGTCTCCTCTTTTGGAGATACCGGGTAGGAAATACAGTTAGGAGTAGACTGATGGAAGAAGAAGCTGTCTGCATTGAGGGAACAGGGCAAAGAGGTTGATAGCTATGGGGAATATCAGGATCTCTAAGAGACCTCGGCCAGCAGAAGTCAATCCTACCTACTGCTTTATTAGTTTAGGTAGAACAGGACTGTATTGAAGATCTTAAGCATCATACTTTTCCAGGTGATGCAAGCTCGGTGTCATGATTTTACATCATGGCATTTCTACCATTTGGTGGATTTCTTCTTTCTCTTCCCCCACCTTGCTCTTCACCAATTATTTTTTTTTTTAAGCTTTCTCTGCTGAAAGAATAGCCGAGTGCTAAAATCAAATACGTGCAAGTTTGAAAATGTCAGCATAGAAGGCAGTGGGCTTCTTCAGATGACATGGACCTCTAGCGTATCACCATACCCGCTCCTGTAATTGCTGGGGTTCCCCCATATGACCCTACTTACTCAGTGTGCATGGCATTCAGTATTTATTTCACAGCATTGAAACTTTGAAAAATTATTAGTTTCTAATAGGCCTTTCTGTGTTACCATTCCTATAATAGTAAAGAAATGAAAACAAATTCTCTAATTCCTGTGGAAGACAATTAAGGCTGAAGTTCTCTATGCATGGAAAAAGCATGGTGACCAATGATCACAAGTACCTTTTGTGCTCTGTAAGAGGTAGGTAAAGGCATGATGTCTTGGAAACCTTAGCTTTTTCTGCTATTTTGTGTGCTGGAAATAGAACTCTCACTTATTGATTGTGGCTGTGTTCAGCTGCTCAAATCTGGCATGCTGACAGTCATGGTGCAATTTGGGGTATACCCCTAGGATTGGATTTTAGACATTGTATGTGCTGGGGGATCACCCAGCATCACCGTGTGCCTGTTCTGCTCTTTTGTCCTACACGTCTGCTGTTACTACTTGCCAGAGTCCTGAGCTGGATCAGTATTTGGTCTGGTCCAGTACGTCAGTTTTTATTGTAAAGCTGGGCAGTGTTTCTTCAGTCAAGCAGATGGAAAATGAGGAGCATGCACACAAGCGGGTTAATTTTCCCCCAACTTCAGCAGCTTTAAAGTTAATCACCTATTTTGAGTTAGTTATTCAGGCCCCCGTTGAGTCGGCAGCGATACGGTAATTCCTGTCATCCTGAATACTCTGTGAGGTGGGTGGGATCTGCTAGCCAGCAACCCCTGTGATTCTGGAGCACGCCTTGGTGATCAGTTTAGACTAGATACCTGACTTTGAAGAAGCTAGGGTTTAGTCATCAAGAACCGAATTTGCTGCTTTATTTTGATAGTGAAGTCAAGCAACATGCCCACATTGTGCAAGAATTCCAGAAATAGCATCTTCTGCATATCTGGGATGATGATTAATTGTCATAACCCTGACATTTCTGTTCCCTCTTGGAAGTTCCTCGCGTCTTTTGTAACACACTCCCTGCTCTTTCATACTTCTTGCAACAAAGGAGACCGTAAAGGTCTGCAGAAAACCATCTTTTTGTTACACAGCAACAGAGAAGACTTTAAAGAGGGGAAGATGCTGTCTAATTTTGTAAGTGAAGACTGTTGTATAATGCGTGTGCCTGAGGGACCCAAATCAAAGATACAAGGGAGCTTGGTTGTAGTATTTGCTACCATTTCAGTGGCTCGCTTAGTTAAAAGAATCCTAGGAGTATATATAGAGTATCTGGAATGTAATAAAAATAGCTGAGGTTTGTATCTTCACGCACACAATGCTTGATGCAGAATGGTAGGTGGTATTGCATTTCTGCTCCCTTCCCTCCCTCCTCCCTGCCTGTGCGCGCTTTGGGGAGAAAACAGCTGCATTTGGAATATCTGCTGGAACTCGTGAAGATCCACAGGCCGGATCCAGAGCTACTCTCTGATGGTCTGCCACTGTTGCCAACCTGAGAACTGGATCACAGCTTTTTTTCCTCCTCTTTGAGTTGACCAGTACATGAATATGCAGATTATACCGACAATGTAAATACATATATGTATTTATCTGGAGACTGTGGAAATTATTTATGTTAACAGTGCTATGTTATAGCGCTCTTTTTTTCTGTATTTAGAGAAATGGCCACTGCACTCTTATCTTGAGGATTAGGAAGGACTTCTAAAATGAAACTTCATTTCTAGATTATAGAGAGTATATCTCTAAAAGAGAACCTGAATGAATTTCAAAGAAAGATCTGATCCAAGAAACACAGCACACTTTATCTGAGATAACAGACGATTTCTCGATAGCTTGAGTCTACTGTAGGATTAAAACTTCTTGGCATATATAGCAGCTCAGTTGATCACTTGAACTGCAATTAAAAAGTAGAACAAGTACACTCAGAATATTGTTTTTGTGTCAGAAATGCTCCTTCAAGCTTGAAAATGATAAAAAATTGCAATCGATCCTTACAACTGTTGTGTTCATCTTTATTGATCAGGCAAAAGAAAGATAAATCGCAGCCCAAATAAGATTATAGTAAATGTTAGCATCATAGGGGACCATAGGATGATAGAGAGCTATTCATCATCTCAAATGGTGACCTGTCCGCACTCGCACCGTAGTCAGCCTGCTGTCTAATCGCATACCTATTGATTTCATCTACATCCAAGGAACCTGGATGTGACTGTCATTGGGCAGCTGAGATTGCTAAACGCAAGGGGGTCACTGGTGTGAGGAGGATTTCATTTTCATTTTCTTACTGGCCAACAATGATTTATGAAAAAATAAATGACCCCAAGTCATATGCGTGGAAACCTTGATTCCCGTACAAATGACTTATTAGGTCTGAATCTCAGAAGCAAGAGTGCAGTAGACCACCGTGCTCTTTGTGATCTGTGCGTGACCTTTGACTGCAGTGGATTTTACACAATTTGTTATAATTTGTGGTAAAATATTAGACTTGCAATACAATTTTACCCGTGTCCAGACTTGGTATTCTTTTTCAGTAATTTCTGTACATTTCAAGATGATAATTCACAAGGAAGAATCTCAGAAGATGAGATCCGCAAATGGAAAAGAAAATTGTTTTTTCCTTTTATTTTTGTAGATAGGGCTGCCTCTTTTGGAGTTTCCATCAAGTGTTTTTGCTGTAGTGGGCTATCTTACCTACAGTCATAACATAATTTGGCACAGATGAATGTTGCTCAGGACATGTTTACTAACCCAGTGATCAAGGAGACTATGTCATCTTTGACTTTTACAAAAGAGTGATCTCTCCAGTTACAGGGTTTTTAATTTTTTTTTTCCTAACAATGTTTTAGGGATATTGCTTTTTCATACATCAACGTCTTAAGTAAATAAAACTGTTACTTTACCCAAAATAAAATTTCAATAATGCTTTTTATGGACTGCATTGTGCCGTCCGTGTATGTTAAATGTTTTAAATAATGCGGAATTGTGTTGTGGCATGAATCACTTTAAACCATGGTATTAGTAGTTAGATTGTTAAAATAAGGATTCAAAATGTTTTTTCTGTAATGGTGCAGTGTGTGATTGTAAGAGTTTCGTTGCTGCGTTAACACGACTCCCTGGGATGCCAGATGACTCAAGAGCTGCAAAGCTACGGAAGAGTTCTTGGAAATGCCAGCAAAACCTTTCTACATCTCCATGACCTGTTTGCCCCACCATTCAGAGAAAAATGCTTTTAGAGAACTTTTGAACTGTTTTAACTTTTCTTTATTCCTCCAACTGTGAAGCCAGGTGCCTCAGTTATTACCTCTTAAGTCCAACTGTGCTAAGGCTATAAAAACCTCTTTACAAATACCATGTATATATTATCTAGACATGAAGCATCACAACATTATAGTGGTTTGTCTTTGAATATCCTACACCCCGCTGAGAAACTTTGCCATTTTTAAGCATAGAAAAGTTTTATTGCTTGATGATTCAATCTTGTCTTGCCTGCATTTTGGAAATTAATGATTTGGTGTAACGGAGTGAAAGGCACTCCTGGGTTTAGGGGAGATGAAAATATGTTCTGAAGCTGCCTGATTTTAAAAATTAAAATTAGCAAGTGATTGAAGTGGCCTGGAAGTTTGGAATATTAAAATAACTCACTGCGAGAGGCATTATTGAGGCAAGGAGCAAAAGAGAAAGTCAAGCCATAGGTAATTTATTGTGCAACTTTGAAGTTTGACTCAAGTATTAGGTGCAGTCTAGGTGGGGATATATGTGTAAGTAACACAAACAGGGACACGTGAAGAAGTAAGGATGCAGTATTTTGATTTTTTTCTTCTTTTTTTTTTCCTAATGGAGAAGCTTCAAAGGCTTCAGCAGCCCTTAGTGCTAGATACGTCGTTCTTAACCCATGTCTCTTTACAGATTCCTCCTAAGAGGCGTCTCTTTTGCATAACCTTCAGGGAACCAAGAGGATGCGATTATTTAAAAAAAAAAAAAAAAAAAAAAAAAAGTAACCTCTGAAACTTAGTAGAATACATGATTGGAGGGTTGGGTTTGGGGTTTTTTTGGAGCACCTTAAATGGATAAAATATCCACATTAGCATTATTTACTAGATATTAGTATGCATATAAATGATATTATATAAAATCTGGGTTTGTGTTTGTTTTTTTTTTTTCATCTTTCCAGAGTGCCCAGTTCTACAAAGTTACCACGGAGCAATACCAAAAAGCTGCTGATGAAGTGTCAGCTCGGTTCAAGTAAGTGTTTTCTACTGTTGTTTTTGAGCCTGGCAGCTAGATGAGTTCTTATCCACATTAAAATTCACAATAATTCTCCTTCCCCCATCATAGATCCTATCAGGCTGTGCTGGTTATAGAAATGAGAGAATTTTGAAGAAGTTGGAAGCCAGTGCATAGTAGCCATAAGCTGCATAGAAATTGGACATGCAGTTAGTAATGTACTAATTAATTTATATTTGATGAGATGCATGAAATATTCTAAAAATATATTCCTTAACATTTTTTCTCTAATGGAGAACCAAAAATGTAGTTCCAACTTTGCATTACAATAGTATTCATCCTGTGCTTCCGTGATGTGAAAGGATTTAAAGTAGCAACTTCACTTTGCCCTTAACAGTGAAGGTCAAATTAAATAATTTTTATTAGTCCCGAGGATGGTTAAATGAAGATATAGTAATTGATGGATCAAAGCGACTTTGACCCTTAGCCTTGGACTCTTCCCTTTCTGCTGGTTCATCCATTAGGCAGAAGGTTCCATTTATCATTTTTGTAAGGATACAGAGAGAACTTTTTACAGCCTTTTAGCCTCAGCAGTAACCAAGAAATGCTGTATAAAAAGAATTATTCTGCGATGATTTTCAGGTTTGTGGAGGGATTTTCTTTGGGTTTGGGTTTTGTTTTGGTTTTTGAGGAGCAAGAAGAGAAAAGCTTGAGCTTTGAGCTTCTGGTAACGATATAAATAAAGTTCTTAACTGTAAGATAAAAATCATTTTATCTCTTAATATCATGAATTGTTAAATATTCTCTAGTGTATATATAAAGTCTTTGTACTGGTTAATGGTGCAGAGTATATTGAGGACTGAATTCATCTGTCCCTTAAACAAGAGGGACAGAATGACCATTGACTCAAGGTCTGATTTAACCATAATTTGGAGGGTTTCCCATATGGATGGGAAGCCTGGTAAGTTGTTATTTATTGTCATTTTTTCCACCTGTGATAAGATTCCCATCAAGGGGGTATTTCCCCTTCCTTTGTTACAGTGCAGTATTTAAAGGTTTTGAAATCTAATTATTGCCTAATCTGGTTGTCATTATTCCAAAACAAGCTTTTATCGTGATTTGAAGTAGTTCTTGATAGCTCTAGGTAGTTATTGTGGTCGGTGGTGGGAAATGGTTTTGGGTTTGGGTTTTTTCCTCCTAATATATAAATAATGTATAAATCATTTCCTAAGTAAATCAAATGTTTTTGGGTTCCTTTTTGCATGGACAGAGCTGGTAGATATAGCAGTGGCCAGTCCTTAGCGTCAGGCAATATCTAAGAATTTTAAGCAAGCCGTTTCGTAGGATGTTTCAGTCTATCTGCATAAACCAAAGAGTATTTAATGAAAAGGGATTTGGAGAGGGAATTGGAGATTCCTAACACTTCATGAGATTGGTCTTTTCTTAATTTTCTGGAGGCGAAAAGTACAAATAGAGATCACCTCTTTGCCTAATCTTCGCTGTAATGCCATTGCTGAAATTGCTGTGCTTTCTTTGCACTTTAAGCCAAATTTTCTGAGAAATTATTTGGAGCTTTTTGATTAGTGGGTCCAGTTTTGGTCCATTGCCTTAAAAAACAAAAAGAAAATATTCTGAAAAGAAAAAGATATCTGAAGTATACGCATAAATTGCAGTAGATTTGATAAAGTGCATAAAATATCAATACTGCTTTATAATTTAAAAGTTTTCCTTATATAAAATCCTTTTAAATGCCATGTCTTTTTATCGAAGGTTTGAATTCAGCAGATGTTATTTTATCACTGCCTTTTGTATGTAACTTGATGGATAAATTATGAATGATTTAGTGAAACCTAAAGATGATGCTCTTTTGGTGTCACCAGGCACTTCTCATGTTCAGTTTAATTGCATGTGAGGATTGAGGACAGAGTTTCAAGCAATGGTGTTTAAAGAGCTTGTTTAATTGGCTGTAAAAGAAGAATTAAATAAGGTTGAACTGCTAAATTTTATTAATGCGTAAACCGATGTGCTGCACATCAGTGTGATTTCAGGTTCTAAATGCGAGATTAATAGATCTAATTGTGGTATTATTACGAAATAGTCTCACTTTATTTTAAACACGTCTAGAATTAGCTGCTAAGTTTTATTGAGATAACTTGCATTTCTTCAACTTTTTAAGCTACATCTCTTTCAAGAGCAAAGAGAAGTGGATAATTACTTAAACATTTCCTGGATTTTCCCTTTCCTTCCTCCATTTAGTCCCTGAAATTACATCAGCTGGGGCTTCATCAGTCTTTAGGGATAATTCACCCCATTAAAAGGGAAAAAACAAATATCCCATATAGACTTGTATCAGAGAACTGGCAGGTCTTCTGTACTTTGTCTGCAGTCCTTATTGATGCCTGCTTATTACCTTGTCCAGCGCTGCTTGGATTAGACTGATATTCCAAATGTTCATTATAAATGTTTTATCTCCGTGAGGTTCTGATTCACATTGATCAAATTCTGAATTATCAAACGGTTCATCTCTTTGAGACACTAATTCACATTGATCAAATCCTAAATGACCAGGTTCGGTCAGTTCCTGCAGTACACAAATTACATTAAAACAACATTACTAGAGCATGCTGCCTTTTCTAATGTAGGAGTTATGTTACCCGCAGTTACATTATGACCAGAATTATTATATTATGAAGATGTCTCTGTTATAATGAGAAGTTTACACAAGAAGAGAAGAATGCAGTATTACAGGAAGAGCCAGGCTTTGGGCAAAGATCTGAACTTTAACTAATCAAATTGTACATTTGTATTGTGGTTTTTTTCTTAATTGGAAGGGCTGCTAGCGGGAAATTTGGCAGCTGCGGTGGTGACATTTTATTCCCCTGTGGTGTCTAGAGCCAAGTAACATCTTGATTATTCATTTAGGAATAGAGTTAAGCGGATAGGGCAAATTCGGCCTAAAATAAATGTTTTTACTTTATCTTCTGTGGGTTTTGATTCCTTGTGGTAGATGACAGACTTCATAGCTGTGCACTAGTGCCTGTTCCGAAATATTTTGCCATTCCTCTCCTGCTCCACCGGTCTCTCGTAGACAACATGGAGTTGCTTCTTGTTGCTGGTTTCTTGGCAAAAACATAGTCCCCAGCTGGCCAGACTGATAGAAAATCCAGGTCCTCTTTGGGGATCGGCTGTCCATTTTGGCTTCTACTGCCCAGTGGTGGCTGTGTGAAGCAAAGCAAGGGTGAGGTTTTCCCTGGTATCTCAGTGTGTCACTTCGGTGTCACTTCTAAACTCCTGTGTCTCCAACGAAGCCGAATTCTGGATCTTGTGCATCATGGCACAGGTTTTATATGTGTTTGTGTGTTGATAGACTCCTGGGTGAAATTAGCCAGCGCCAACCAACAGTCTTAATCACGGAGGATGCTTTGCATCATCTGGAAGCTTGGGTGTTTATTCTGAATCACGGATTTTGATGGCTTTATTCCCTTGCTATGAGACTTCTGATCATGAACCTTGCCATCGGGAGGAATGCCTTTTGGGAACTGGAGGAGCTCGTTTGATTAAACACAGAAAGGTTTGGGATTTGCTCACACTGCTTCACACGGTACAATCTTCACGCATTTGAGACGTTTTAAAAACAATTTTACAAACCAAATCAATATGTTTCATGTGGTTCTCGATCATTTCCATTGCTCTGATCGCTGATGGAAGTTAGGGCTCGGTGATAGGCAGGCAACAGGCTATTATAGCCTTGAAAATATGTTCAGCCGGGGGTTTGATTCAGGATAGAGTGAACAGGAATAAATGACAAAACAATCAATATCATATCTTCCTTTAATTGATGACTTCTGTATCATGAAGCTTGATTTATTAATGTTTACTGAAAATAAAATTTAAAGCACAGTTATGTGTGATGGTTATCTGTAGATACATAGAAACACGAAGAATACTTCTTTTAAGTTGTGTTTTAGCTAATATTCTTTTGAACTGGGAAGTGAAGCTGAGAAAGTTTGTAATGAAGCCACATTAAATGAATAACAGTGGCACTTCGATCTTCAAATATAATTGTCTTACAAAGCAGTGATGCCAGTTTTCTGGACATTGGAAAAAAAAATGCAGTATAGAGAGAAAATAAGCTTTTTAATGACAACGTTGGACTGAGACCAGGGAAATGTGGGTTTATTTTACTGTTGTCATTACCCTTCTGATGTTGGGCACATATGGTGACTTTTAAGGGACTCTTCTGCACTGTCTCTAGGTTAGGAATATTGATAGTTCCTTAATGCAAATATCTTCAGTAACTATCTTCTTGTACTCACAAACTGCTGTGACATAGAAATCCATGTGGGAGATACCCAGGCAAATAGTTTCTGCTTTGTTTCTGCTTGTGCAGATCCACTGGTGAGAAACTTCCAGTTTTCTAGCAGTTCCTTTTGCTACCTTAATTAGCATTAGTTGCTTTTAAAAACAGAAGTTAAAAGTACAGATTATAAATTATTTGTGAAGTACTACATAGTATTTTTCCAGTAACAGAAAATAGAAAGCTCTTTGGAAATCCTTGGACAGAGCCTGAAGGCTTGCCTTCTAGTTGAGTTCCCTTTGCTCAGCCAAAGACAATGGGCTCTAAATAGAAACATCCTGAATTAATCTTTTCTCTTACAAATACAGCATGTACATGTAGTGCTTTGTCAGGAAACAGTCATGTCAGTATTGTTTGCCCTGATGATACTATTGCTGGTAGTATTCTTGAATTCCTTTTTCGTGTGTTATGGCTGGGGATGATGGTCCCGAGTTATCCACGACATCCCGCAGATGCGCATAGGACTGGTATGTTTGTAAATTAATTATGCTAGAAGGAGTGCATAGTGTTAATAGGGAGGTGATCGTGCCCCTGTACTGGGCACTGGTGAGGCCGCACCTCAAGTACTGTGTTCAGTGTTGGGCCCCTCACCCCAAGAAGGCCATGGAGGGGCTGGAGCGTGGCCAGAGGAGGGCGACAAAGTTGGTGAAGGATCTGGAGC